GGCATGAATGCATGTACAAACCAACATAAATGTACATATGTGTATATAGTAGATTTGTATGAGTGCTTGTAAGCTGCTGGCACAATGCAAATGTAGCACAAGCGCTTGCGCCACAAAATATGCAACAAGAAAAGGAAGTGGACTTTACATATTTGCAGTGTATGTAAGTATATACCTAGAACTTGTTCTGTATTTCAGTTTTTCCAATTTTCCAAAACTGAGATTTCGGGATTTTCTAAAACGAATAATTTCTGAAATGTGGGACTTATTGGGGCTTAAGAAAAATCTTAACCACCAAGTATATCTAGCTAACTAAAAGCAGTCTCGAAGTAGATTTAATAGCGTTGCCATATTAAAAAAATGTAATTTAAACAAAATTAATTTATACAAAATATTAAGCCAAATTTTCTAATTGCGGTCGCCCCTAGGCAGGGAATGTCAACCAATCTGAGTGCATTTCGGACTTGAAATATTGGCTCCTCCTTGCTAACTTGCACTTCTGGTCAACTTTTTAAAAATCAAAAACAGCATCAAATTCCAAAATTTATTTTTTATAAAACTTTTTCCTTAAAACTTTAGTAGAAAATATTTAATGTAACGATGTAGTATATATGAGCACATAAATAAAAATTAATATGTTTTTGAGTGCATTTACGCTCAGGTGTAGATGAGTATTTTACAGAATAAGCATTTTACAAGTAAAAATATTTATGGTAGCTTGAGATATAAGCGTTAATTTTTAGAAGCGGTTAAAGCAAATCCCACTGTCAGACAGAGCTGCCAGCTGCTTCGAATAAAAACTAACAAATTAAGTAATATTTGTTTATTTTCGTTTGAACGTTGCAGGAAAATATGCTTGCTTTGAGTGAGCTAACTACTAACAAGCGTAAGTTGGAGTTTTACATCATTTGAAATATGTCTTGTTGTAGGGTTGCCATTATTTTAAATACAAAAAAAATATTTCCTAAGGAGAAATAGTTATTATAGTAAATTTTAAGCGTTAATTCTTGCGCGCAGTTGTTGCTAAGATTGTTTCTTACAGAGTTGCCAGCTGACTCAAATTCAATTCACTTATATTGTGAAATTCAATTTTAGTTTTTCAACGGCTGGGAGACCTGTTTTTCGAGTATGAATTAAGTACCCTAACAAAATACCATTGGGGAGGAGTATAATCTAAACAGAAATATTTTAATTCCACATTTATATGTTATTTTTTTTTTAATGATTTTAAAAACTATTTTTGTTATTTTATTTAAATAATAACTTAAATCTTACGAACTAACAGAGATCCCGAAGCATTTTCTAATTAGATAATATTTCGGTATTTATAAATCCCGTTAACTGGCATATTCACACATAAATGTATTTATTATGAAACTGAAATATATTTTACTTCTGTTGGCACGTAATGCGTGTTCTGTATCGCTTATCACTATACTTTGCCAGTTTTGCATTATTTTGACGCAAAGAAAACGCGCGCGACGTTACAATTGCAGCGATTGCAACATTAACACGTGGCATGCGGAAAAAGTGAAAATTCATGCCACTGCGAGGCGCAAAGCTCACGTGATGAATAAACACAATTTGTACACTCTTCTTATATACATTTAAACTTCGTGCACATGCTTGTAACGTATTTGCATGTATACACACACACATACATTTATAATCATGTGTGTGAGAAGTTGCATCAAAGTCGTCATTGAAACGCTTCCGCTGTTATGCATCCCAACGCAACGCTTTGAGTGTGCATATCTGTGCATATTATATATAGTTGTATGTAAGCGTATATATATTATATATATATGTGAATGTACACATGTATATGCTTGCCACCACAAGCACTTCTGCTTCATTTCCGCCACTAACGTTGCATACAAACTTTTGTGTTGTGTTTCCTGCACCGCAACACCTACAAATTGTGGCGAACACAAACACACACATACACACATACACACATACCCATGCATATACACACTTTCACTCCTTCGCTTTTACATATTTCTCCTTTGTTTGTTGAATTTTTATGTTGTTTGCCACATATTTTATTTGAAGCGTGCTGCAGATGTGCACACTTGCTCCCAAGCAGCATAAGCAACAGAGCGAAGGCTTTGCTTTTATTTTTTCATACACAAATACACATACATATATATACTTTATTTTTTATTATTTCTATTTTTTGTTCGCTTTTTTCGTTCTAAGTTTTATTTTCTTTTTACATTTGTTTTTTAATTCTTCTTCGTATTTTTGGTGCAGTGAATTATGAAAATACGCTGGTGTAGAGTATAGACTAAACTGCACTGCCGTCTGCCTTCATGAATTCACAAATATTCATAGATTTACCCATACACAAACACACACACACATTTTCAAAAAGAAATATATATATTCGCTTTTGGGTGCTTTGTTTAGCTGCTTTTTGTATATTAGTAAAAGTAAATCTGTGCATTTTCCTGCTCGACCCTTACAGCATGCCACACCATGTTCTGCCCCACACACCTGCACACCCGCTCAACGCTTTTATTGTTGGTTTATAAAATATCCACTTTGATGGTTTTTAGTGTAATAAAACTAAAAGTAATTTAATTTTTCATAATAATTTTATTTTTCTTCAGCATGATCTTCCTACAGTTCTTCCCCAACCAACAGCTCAGAGCCATTCGGTTCACTCCTTGCGCTTTTTCGGTTGGTCGCCTAACGGCATTCAGGTTGCAAAATGTTTTTCTGATAAATTCTCGTTTTGCTTTATGCATTCTGCTACCGCGCAGAGCTAGCTGGTTGGCTGGCTGGCTGACTGCATAGCTGCCTGATCGCCTGACTACCGGACGGCCTGTTTGCCACTGTGGTTGCTTTACTGCATTTGTTGGCCTCAGGTGCTGCCAGCAAAGCGTGTAGCGGTAGCTTCTTTCTATTCATACGAAAATGCTGCTACGCTTTCTTTTAATAGTTTTTAACCTTAACCTGTCTGGCGGCGGCTTTACGCGCCGTTTGCCGCACCACACTCTCTTTGCTCCCGCTTCCTTACCTCTTGTGCTATTCGTGCCTCATTCCAACACTTTGAGTAAATTTTTTTTTTTTTTTTTTGAAAAATATTGCAAGAATTTGTCGGTGCATTTATTTGGTTCTCGGGCTTTTGGGTATTATAAAGTTGAATCTAAATTAAATTTCAGAATTTTTGAGTTAACTTGCAATTGGTCATAAAAAGCTTTTAAGCTTGTGTAGTGATATAAATTCTTTTGTAGTGGGATTATTTATTTTTCTTTGTTCTACAGTTTGATTCTGTAGAGGCTTAATAGCCATAATACGTAAACCCATTTCGCTATGCCGCAGTTAAAATTTGGTAAATTTAGAGGGTAGTTAAAATTTTAGTAAAATATCTAAATACTTCGGAAATTTTCGGCAAGCTCAACTCAACTCAGAAAATAGTTAAAGGCGCTTCAAAACTGATTTCGATTTTCGGCCTTCAACTTTATATTTTCTGCCGATCGTGAACAGCGAATTTTCTTAGAACTTTCTCGAAACAACACTTAGCCGTAATCGTTTCATTATTCTTGTTGACTCAAGGCGCTAGAACTGAGACTTGCTACAAAGGTCTCAAATGCGCGAACCATTCAGTTTGTCTGACTAGTAGTTTTTCTAACTTAGGCTAGGCACGAATGTTCTAAAGAGTATTTTCCGTGGAACTGATAAATTCGGATGTGCATTAAGGTTGGACAGTAACAGTTTTGGCATACGATCCCGCTATGAAATATGATGCTCCTGAAGCTGTGACATATATCATGAAAGTAGTTTCCAATGAAGCCGTATTAAACAGTTAATTAAATATAATGAAGTAAGTAACAAATTAAAGTAAAACGTAATAAAAATACAAAATAAATAGAAGTAAAACATAATTAAAAATTTTACAGAAATAACTGTACATAAAAAAAAATAAATAATTAAAAATAAATAGCAAATAATAACCAATATTTAAAAATAACTAACAATAAAAAATAAATAATAATTGTTAAATAATAAATAACAAATAATAAATTTTAAATATTAATCAATTTATATTTATATTTATTAAAAATAAATGAGTAAATATAGTAAAAATTATATCGCAAATAATAAATAATAAATAATTAATAATAAATAATAAATAATATAAAATACACAACAAATAATGAGATAAGTATAACAAGCATATTGTAGAAATAATAATAAACAAAAATTAATAAAAAATAGAATATAGTAAATAACAAATAATATAAAATACATAATAAACAATAATAAATTAATAATAAATCATAAATAATAAACAATAAATAATAAAAAATAAATAAATAACAAATAATAAATAATAATAATACATCATAAATAATAAATAATAAATAATAAAAATAAGTAATAAATAATAAACAATAAATAATAAATAATTATAATAAATAACAAATAATGAAACATATTTATTTTAATATTTCATAAACAATAAAAGATATATTAAAAAATAAAATAATTCATTGTTATGTAATTCAAAATCAAAAATAAATAATATTGCAAATAATAATAACTAATTAATATTAAAAAAAATACAAAATTATTAATAATAATAAAACTCTAAGTGAAATATTATTTAAGGTACAATGATTTTCTCACCCATTAACACATGTGGCAAGCATTATCTTATTCTGCTAACTAACAGGCCACATAAATTACCATAACATACAATAACATAATCTAAAGCCTACTCCTTTCTAAATATGTTCCGGTACTATAAAAGAAAGATAACAAAACAAGTACTCTTAAGAAACCTGTCAATATTTGTCATAGCAATAAATTAATAAAAATCATTTTGACTTCTAAGAATAATAAAAGGCGTTAATGAGTTTAACTATCGCTAACAAGTAAGTACTGATAAATATTTTCAAGTGAAAAATTTCATAATCAGTCTCCATCGAATTGTAAGAATTGTGTATTTTGATAAGAATTTATAGTTTTCAAAATTGGCAAAAGTATAAAACCCAAAGGAAGTGTGGTCACAATCAACATTGACTGGACAGTAGTTGATAGCAATAAATTGCCGAAGTTAAAAAGAAAGCTCAAAAATGAAAATAATTGTTCAAGTTTGTGTGCTCCTCACCGTTCTGGCTTTTGGATATTCGGCAAGCTCTACATGGGGTATACACAATGCCACCGATTCCATTATTCTCAACAAACGTGTCTTTTATCCTGCTATACGAAATACTATACAGACATACTACTTCGATGTGCCAGAGTCGGTGAGTTGAAAAAATATCTATATTTGGATTTGAAATTTTGATGGTTTTCAATTCTTCCCATACTTAAATTTTTTTTAAATGAAATCCTGAGGTGAGGATTCCGAAGTGGTTTTAAAAAAAAAATAAACTTTTACATAACACAAAAGTGTTTTCAAAAAAATAAAAAAAAAACAGAAAAACTTTATTTCAAGCGTTTTGTATAATAACTGTAATTTTTTTCCCTAGTACCAGAGCAACAACAAAGTAATCAGTGCCATTTACTTGCAAGATCAATTCCAAAACAGCTCGGGCCCAAGTAACTTTTTATACGCAGGAGGACCTGGTTGGACTTTTGCATCGATACAAATGAGAACTCAGACTGGTTTCGGTCTAAATGTGACATTTGTTATTTATGGCAAATAAATAATTGTGTTAATTAATATAAAAAAGCAAAAATTTCTTTGTATTCTTTTAAGCGCTTCCAAATATAAAAGAAGTTATTTGCTACGAAAATATCTTATAGATGTCGCTATAGCTGTAGAAAGAAGGAAACTTGTACTCTCTTTAAATCACACTGTCAACAAACCAAATATGTTAAAGCATAGAAGCTGACGGAAACTGCTGTGCAATTTTAAAGACATTTATTTTCTTTTATTTATTCCCTGTCTTTTGAGTAATAATAAAAACGATATAAGCCTAATTGTAGGCAACGTTTTAGCTTATAGTATTCACATATCAAAGAAAGAAAATCAAAAATTCAACAATCTCTTCACTCACCTGTATAGCGGCGCGCGCGCCACGACTTATCGCCGGCATAACGCTCGTATGTAGTACGCACTGTTTCTTCTGCCCATAAGTCATGCCATCCACTTGATAACAATTGTCCGGATTCAAATCAATTGGCTCGGAATATGCCGGCACTGTAGGATTGGATGTGTTTGTATTTCCCGCCGATATGCTCACGTGATCGGCATTCGAAGCGTCGAAATCACGACCGCCAGTTATAACGGCATCACGTTCAAAATACGTCGCACCATATTTGGCAGCAAATTTATCATTACTACCCGTGCGACGTCCCTGTAAGCCGCCACCGATATTACGACGCTTATGATGCGAGCGTATGGAGCGTGAAAGTATTTGTAGTTCTCCTTCATCGGCGCGTATCGCTGGTGTCGTCGTCGTCTCTGCGCTCTCATTATATGATCTCTTAAAAGAATCGGGTATTTCAATGGAAACCGCAAAGCGTTTTGTATTGTTCAACGTCTGCACATAAGGTTCGTAGTGTGGGCGCAGATATTCACGTTGTTCGCGCAACAATTGCTCTCGATGCCGTTGGCGCTGTTGTTCCTCGCGTTTACGCTGACGTATGCATTTCTGCGAGTCTGGGTTCCGTATACATAGGGGTTTCTTCGTTGGACGACGCGGTGTAGTGCTGGTCATGGGTGTTGTAGTCTCCGGTGTGGTTGGCGTTGTAGTAGCCACAGTTTGTGGCATGCCCGCCGGTATTTTATCGAAGTTACGACGTCGTGCATCGACGCCACCTGCACCGCTGCTCGTATCGTTTTTTATTGTCTGATCGTTGAGCAGCAAAACTTGTGGCACAATAGTAATTTTGTCGCGCGCATTCATGCCGGCTTGCGAAAGAAACACAGACATGCCGCCATCGTCCTCATCATCGTTGTGGTAATAACCTCCGAAGGGTTGGCCGCCGGGCAATTTTGCGCCAATCGGAAAGACCGACTTACGCGTGGGTGGCGTGACTGGTGCCGAATATTGATAGATAGAGCGAAAAGGGCGCGCTGTAGTTGTAGTTATTATTGTAACTGTATCCTTTTGACGCTCCTTCTGCAGACTGGGAAACACCACAAATTTCGATTGGAAATTGCTATCATGTTTTGTGAGATTTTGTAAAAATAATATGTGTTTCTTTAAATCATCAATATTCGATGCAAACTCCGGTGTCGCAGGTGTAGTCGGACGTTTCTTTGTCGTCGTTGTTGTGGTAGTGGCGCGCGTAGTTGTCGCCGTCAGTCGCTGTGTGGCCATGAGGGCGCGCGGATCTGGCGATGCATTTTTCAATGCCATTGGCACAATAAATTTTCGATCTTCATCCGTCAAACTTGTAGGCAGTCCATTCTCATCGGTGTCTTCATCAAGCAATATTATTTGTTTTTGATCCATCTCCTCTTGTATTGGATGGCGTCGTCTCTGTGCCATAACAATGCCACCACTATAGTACGCACTACTGCTGGTACTCGCAGCTGCATTGGGTATCTTTTTGGTTAAGTCGGCTTTCACGAAACCCGTCGTCGAGTCACGCAGATCGACGGGCTTAATGAAGGTACCCAATTTACGTAGACCCTCCTGATGCATGAGCGCCTGCTCATCTTTGGTTATGTTGAGGGGTACGCTGTTGTTCGCCAACACCTCTATTTCGTTACTAAATTGGATGAATGGTGATTTCACGCCAAGGCATCTAAAAGAGTGAGTGTTAAAAGAGAATTATTATACAAAAGAAGTCGAAAAGGGTACGACAAAAATATTAAAATATGTCATTTTTGATCCTTTGTTAGATAATAAATTGCATTTGCTAATCAAATTCCAAGACGTTTACGTTGAACTGGTTGACTTCTTGCCATAAGTGGCCAAAATGAAGGTGAGGGTGATTCGTAATGAATAGTGAACCACCTATAGCAATGCTAAGCATGAACAGTTGTGATCAAAGGACAGTGAACCTTCAGAAACGAGCCCAAGCTACGATTGAAGGCCAAGGAAGGCAATTTAAAACGAGAACAGTTGTGACCGAAGAACAGTGAACTTACTTAGTGTTTTGAACCCGTGCATTGTACTGTTAGCGATTGAATCGTCGGAAGGAAGCAAATCCCCAAATTTGTCCAACAGGAGGGGGATTGTGTTGCATTTGCAAATCACCAGAAGCTCCGATCGCTTGCTTGGAAGGCTCTTATGTATCCATCTTACAGTTGTGACCTCACACAAATAGGTTGCCATCTGTTCTTGTCTTTCGTGGTTGATTTGGCTGGTGAAGAACTGGTCGGGAAAATCGATTTTTTCCATGAGAGAGGCATAATGAAATAAAATGATACAAACTTTGGAGCAAACCGGTGAATACATGACATAATTCTGGCCCTCCCAACCATGGTACTAAAACCTACAAATAAGTGAAATATTTATGTAGGGCTACCGGTGCTTTTTCGCTTGCTTTTTTACATTATGTTTCCGCGACAAATCGATATTCAACAAAATATATACTTAGCTTCGTTTCTGCTGTAAAGTTCGGGCATGAACAAAATCGAAAAAATTATTCAAATATAATAAATTAACTTTTATTGTAGCAGTTGCTCTTCGGCAGGAAATGTCAACTTCTCCGAGAGGAGGAGGGTTAGATGTGTCATTTTAAGGGGCAAGTGAAGAGGTGGCTAGTGTCGTGCGGAGACTCTCCACATGCAGAGCATACGGTGCATATGCTGGGGTCGAGTCTGGATAAGTACGAGTATAACCTGCTACAATATCCAGCCCTAAGTTGTGCCAAGGTTACGCGGGTCTCTCGAGGCAGCTCGAGCTCGTTGTCTGCAATGGGTGGTGGTTTTACTCCGAGCTCGCCATTCACTGGAAGGGAGTCTTTAAAGGTGTTGACTAACTACTGGTGAATGACGTTTAGTGCCTGTCTGCACGCCATTCTGTCCAGCAGTTGTTGTACGTATTGCTGGACAAGCCGGTTCTATGTACCGGAGTTGACCCGGATTTTATCTGGCCAAGGGCTCTCACCCTTTCGGCGACCTAACCCCGTTTAGGTCAACAGGTACCATTAAAATTAGATAGTAAATACCGCTGCTGGGTAATAATTTTCTTATAGCTTTTTTCATTTAATCTGGCCAAAAATAATTAAATATAAAAAATTGACTGCAACTCAGCTGAGTGAGTATGAATTATTACCCGAGGGTCATTTAGCCAGTATGGAAATAACATTACTTATATTTTCCTGTTATCATTTATCACATTACATATACATATACTCGTACGCTCATCTCAAACCATAAAAATCGAGGTTTAGGTGTGTATATATATATATATATATTTTTTTTTTTTGTTAGAGTAAAATTAAACTCATACGCAATACATGAAAAATTAGTTTTCTTTTTCATAAAAAAAAAACAACATCTTTACCTGCTACATCGAGACCGTTGAGCACCCAAAAAAAATACAGCAAATGCAATGAAAAATTGACAACTAAAACAAGCTGACAGCACCAATAGACAAATAAATTGACAATAGATAATACATGCACACATACATCTGCATTTGCTGTGAGAAGCAGACAAGCAGGAAAAAAAGTGGTGTAGACTGAATGGCAGACAGAAGACCAAAAGACCAAGAAACAAAAAAAGCCAAAGACAACTACAAAGCTCAAGTCCCGTTCATGTAGACAAATGTTTTCAAATGTGTAAATGTCATTTTGGAAATGTCAAGTGAAACAAATCGTATCGAAATATTAAAAATTGGATCTAAGGCGTTATAGAAAAAAACCCGTTACAAGTGCTGGCGTGTATGTATGTATGCAAAATGAAAGAAGCACCAAGCCAAGCACCACGTACCATTGGACAATTGAACCAAGCGAAACTTTTAAGAAAGTTGTTGGTTGTTGCTACATCTGTTGAAGCATGGCCAAAAAATGTTTGGTAGCAGACGACTTGTATATGAACTGAAGCGTCAGAGCACTCTATGCATACATACATATGTACACTTGTGTAAACGTTCGAATTTGATTTGTCGCAGATGAAGTGGTAACAAAAATAACAAATTGACGCTTTTCATACACGGATGGAGTTTGAGAATAGAGAGAGGGTGAGAGAGAGAGCGAGAGAGAATTGTATAAATTGCTTACATACTTATCGGAAGTCTCTCAAACGATTCGAATGAACTGATACGTATAATAAATTTAATAATAGAGTGTCTACGAGCTGCTGTGGTGGATTGTGTTAGCGAAAAAACAGATGAAATGTCAGTACACTGCAACCCAGCTAGCAAAAGGGAACGAAATAGAAAATAATTTAAAACTTAGATTAGATTTACAATGGCAATGGGGAACAGCTTAAAGAATTATTTAGGTTATATTGAGACAGGAACTCATGAAAGCAATTAGAACTCATCAACGGTAAACTTTTTAAAGCGAAGAGAGAGAAAGATAGGGACTCATAAATATTCGAATTCGCAAAATGTTTAAACATAATTTGATTTGGGTAAGAACAAGTGATAATTTTTTATTGTTTTCAAATATATGTACGTACGAGTATGTATATAAGACAATTATATGATCGTTTGTGTTTAGTGAAAATAATTTTTTTTATATTTTTAGTGCATATGTTTATATCATGAATACATACTCGAACCTACACACATACATATGTATGAGAGAAGTATCACTCGGTTCCTTCGTAGATACTTGTCAGTTCGTCTATCTGTATGATTAATTTCTATACATTAGCTATTCAATTTCCTCTCGCACAGCGATATCAGCATGATTTCGATTTAATTTAATGAGTTTTTTCAAATTTTTATTAATATTACCTAATATATCTTTTCGTGTACATATATATATTATACGTGTGTAGGTAAGTCTATGTAAGCATATACAATTTTTTGATAGTTTGTTGCAGCTTTATGTAAATGAATTTATCTTTCTTGTTGAGGCATAAAAAAATGTCAATTCTATGAGACGTTATATTATAACTAAAATTTGAGATACGAGTGGCGCCTGCAAATGAGATTCTATTAATAAATACATACAAACATTCATATGCTTTGACTTAAGTGATTTTTAATACAAATAAATAAATTTATCACTGTCCAACTAGAATTTTGTAACCACCAGCGAAGGTTGATGTCATTATGAAAGGAAAAAGCTAGTGGATAAAAAAAATAAATTAAAATTTCTTCAGACTATAAATACATATTTATTGTCGTTAGTGTGAAAAAACATAAAAATAAAAAACAATATTTCTTAAAATTAAACAAATAGCAAAATCAAACAAACAATATACGATCGAATAAAATATAAAAATTTGGTATAAGGTAAAATAAAATAAATAATTTAAAATATAAAGTAAATTAAACAAAAACAAAAATTATATAAAATAAACTATAATAAATAAAATAATTTCAAATTAAATAAAACAATAAATTCAAATAAACTATTATTTAAAATATAATAAAATTAAATTAAATCAAGTAAAGCAAAATAAAATTGAATCCATAAAAAATAAAATTAATTTTAAATAAAATAGAGTAAAATCAAATTAAATAAAACTAAAAAAAAAAACTAAAAAAAAATAATATTATTAAACTGTTTTAAATTATTAGAATAAAATATCACAATACAAAATTAGTTAAAAAAAAAAAACAATATAAAATTATATTAAATAAAACTTAATTAAATAGGGTAAAAAAATCAAAATAAGTTAAAAAAACAATCAACTGAAGTAAAGAAAAGTAAACCACGTATAATAAAAAGAGATAAAATAACATCAAAATATTTAAGTAAATTATATAGAATATAATCGAAAAATAAAATAAAGTAATATAAAAAAATAAACTGAAAAATAATATTATAATATGATATAATATATCAAACTAAAATAGAAAGCAAAAATAATATAAAATGAAATAAAACAAAATAAATATAAAACAAAATAAAATATAAAATAAAAAATAAAAATACAATAAAGTAAAATAAAATAACATAATAACAATAATAAATAACAAATGAAAAAATTAATAAACAAAATAAAATAAAAGAAAAAATAAAATTAATTTTAAGCTAAAATTAAACTAAAATAAATTAAATAATACAACATAAAATAAAATAAGACTAAAAACTAAAATTTGAATAAAAAGAATCTAAAATAATACAAAGTAAAATAAATTAACACAGCATAAAATAAATATAATAAAATACAATATATAAAAAATAAAGATTATGTATAAAATAAAATAAAGAACAATTAAATTAAAAAAATTAACAAATAAAATGAAATAAAAATATGTCAATTAAAATAAAATAACGAAAGAATATAAATTAAAATAAAATAAACAAATTAAAGTAAAATAAAAAAAAATATAAAAAATAATTTAATACAAAAAATTAATTTATTTATAATAAAATGATAACAGCTAATGCTACTATCCTCGTACATATACTGTAACTATTTAATTTTAAAATTATTATTATTATTGTATGAGATCTTTATGTAACAATTCATACCCATTCTCTCTCAAAGAAATTGTGGGCGTCTAATTTGCATGTCAATGATTTCAGCGATGTACTAAAAAGTAGAATATTATTTATCATATCACCACCATAACAATATAAAATTTACTTAGGCAAGGGGAATTCGCTAGCATTTATTATGCTTTCAATTGTGCTGATTTTTTATTTCAACACAATAACACCACTATTTTAAATTCAATTTTTGCTAAGTTTGTTTTGATAAGAACTTTGGCGAAACTGCTTTTTAAGCTGCTCAGAGTCAGCAACGCAAGTCATGCTTGGTTTAGTATCGCCGAAAGCCTCACAGAAGTTTCATCTGAGCCGGTTTTTTTATTTATATATTTTAAATAATTTTATTAAAATAAGTGTAAAAGAAAACATGCACAAATTTTTGCTACTAATTTGCATTGTTATGGGTCTCAGCGAGAATGTGCTCGTCGAACCGGCAACAGTACTGGATAGTCATAATGCCATTTGGGGTGCACGTAGCTCCCGTGACGTACTAATTAAGCGCGAGATAGTGAAAGAGACATTCAAACCGTTGCGCATTGTATCGAGTGATTATGAATTTCGACAAAAGGTAATGTTGATTGGTTTATATAATGAGTTATTGTTAATTTTACTTTATTTTCTTATATTTTTTGCTTTTAATATTTATTATTTAGACTGATCGTAATCCTTATCCACGCACCATTACACAAATTGTTGTTACCGATTTATATACCGATGGCGATGGTGGTTATGCTACACTGAAAAGCGGTGGACCAGGCATGGATTTCGCTGTTATTCATCTCAAGAGTCAACGTGGTCATGGCTACCATTTTACAATTGATTTTTATGGACAGTGAAAATAAATTGTTTATGAAAAAAACTGTGTATTATATTTATTTATTTTTTTAAAAAATCAACATTTTTTGGATTACCGCAAAATATGTATGTATTACTTATAAAAAGAAAACACTCAAAATTATTAATTTTTATCTTTATTTTTTTATGTTTACAAATGTGATCTTTTTTGGAAAAAGTAAAAAAAACTACATCATTTAAAGAATTGTCCATCAGACGCGTTCCCATCTCTCTGATAATTTTTGAATATCATCTCTAAAAGATCAGTCGTCGATACGTTCACTGAGCCGGCAGTGGGAAGGAGAAAGATGTGGAGAATACGGCGGCTGGGATAATACCTCCGTCTTTATCATTTCAAGGAAGCTTTCGGTCGTTACAGCAACGTGCTGCCGAGCGTAGTTATGTTGTAAAATCGCCTTTCGATCTTTATGCCCGTTTTTCACCCCAACTACAACGCGTTACCTATAGTCGTTAATGTTTTGCATCAATGACTAACAGTGGTTGGCATGGGTATTGATCCTTCTAATGATCCAATTTCTATCTTCAAACTTTCAAAGTTGGCCAGAACGCTCGTTGCCTTCGACGCTAAAATCATTACTTTTTTTTGCATTGAAACCAGTTTATGCACGACTTGTGGGTCTGTTAAATTCGCCATAAACTTCCAAAAGCACTCAGTGGGCTTTAGCTGCTCCTTTCTTCCACTCAAACTAGAAAATCAAAACTTCCTGTACATGTTTTTTTCAACACACGGGTAAATTCGGAGATTTTCGAAGAGACAAAATCCAAATTTCTTCGTCAGGAATAGACTCTGATCCACACAAATTTCTGTTGGCCAATAAAACAGGGAATTGCTTTTAAGATCTTCCGCAACTTTCAGGTGGAATCTGGGAACCAATTTTGTTTGAAATATCTCATAAACTTAGAAACTAGCTTTCACACAGACAGACAGACAAACAAATAGTCAACTCGTTATTTCGACTCATTCGGCAAGCAATTTAATGGGTCTATATCTTCTCCTTTCGGTAATTACATTCTTCGGACCAAAGTAAATAAAGTGAAATACACCATTTCATTTCCATACGTGGAAGGTATAAAAGGGAAACTATAGATTTAAAAACCGATATGTAAAGAAAAAAATATGCGTAAAAATAAAAATAAAAATTTCCAAAAACAAATTCAAGTGCTCAACTATTGAGTATTTTTTATATTTTTTCCCCAAAAAATTGGCCAAATTTAATTAAAGATTGTTCATGTCTAATGCGAAATCTAATTCGGTCTGATAAGATACAAATGCACTGAACACCTACTTGATTGAAACTCTTGATTAAATAAAATTATTGACAAAATATTATTAATAGCATTTTAATTCAATATTAAAAGTATTATATATATATTAATTTGCAAAAAACAGGAAGCGATTCTCTATATAAACTCGATTGTTCAAATAAACATCAGAACAGTCGGTTTCTTCGCGTGGCGCTGGTTCCGTCTAAATATTTATAAAAATTTTCAAAATTTTTCAAAATAATTTAATCTTTTTTGAAAATGAAATCTTTATTGATATGTGCCTTATTTATTGGTATTTTTGCCGCCTTCGCTTACGCCGGCAATGATTATTCGTGGGGTATAATTACGGACAAAGATGTCTTAATTTCCAATTCGACCGTAAGGACGGTGTCTAGGCCGTTTATAAGAACTGCGAAGAAACTTGTTTTCAAGCAGAAGGTAAATGTGAAATTATTGACTAATAATTAAGTTATTATAAATAAAAAATAATAATTAAACTTTCTGTTTATATAAAGCTCAAGGATCCGTATACAATCGTTGCTATCAAAGTGACCGACAAGAAGATTATCGGCGGCGCTACGGTGACTATACTCAGTGGCGGTGTGGGTTCACAGAATGTTACGCTGCTTTTTAAATCAGAACGTGGTAAAAGCATTAATGATCAGGTGGAGATTTATGGGCGTTGAGTGGAACGAAAGTTGACAATTATATATGCCAAAATTTTGAAATTGATTTTTATGGACAGTTAAAATAAATTGTTTATGCAAAAACTTTTAATTCACTTGTGTTTAATAATTTATTATTTTTTTCGAAAGAATCACATTTTAGTAGAATAATTGAAATTTCTCAGCAGTAAAGCTGTCAGCAATGCCTGGTTTAATCAGATTTTTATTTTACTTTTTATTTTGGATTTCAAAAAAAAAAAAAAGCTAACACAAAATTCAAAGAAAAAAGGAAAACTGGAAAACAAAAAATGTTGTGACACTAATTAACGAATTACCGTTTGGAAAAGAGTCTTTGCATGGCCTATGGATCGTCGCAGATTCGCCATAAACTTCCATAAGCATTCAATGGGCTTCAGCAGCACCTTTCTTCCAATTAAATACAAAATCAAAACTTCCTACAAAAGCAGACATTTTCGAGAAGGCAGAAAAACGATGTCGTTGTCAGAAACAATGATTCCTCCCGGATCAGCTACACCTCGACGGCGGGGCTTTCTTTTGAGAACGAATCGAATTAATAACAAAATTTTATATATTCAAGAAAAACAAAAAATGGAAATTTAAAATTATAACTGAGTTTTAGATTTCTCGTACGTCTCTTTCCCCGACCAATTTTTGCTCAATTTGTGAAGTCTAAACTATTTTTTTAATCATTACATAAAGAGGATTCAAATATACTTATATAGAAAGATTAAAAAAAAAATATATAAATATATATGGAAAAATATTTAAAATTAAAAAAAAAAATTAAATAGAAGTAAGCAATTATATTTTTTATACTCCATCTCAAATACATATATGATATTTAATTTTGGGCTTAAGTATTAATTTTCATACATATATGCAAATTTTCATGCTCTCAGATGAATTTATGACGGATTTCCTACCCAAAACCTAATGCATGGATAATGAAATAGTTTCAGCACCAATGTGTATGCAGAGTACCACATTTTATGATCTTAGAAGTTTTGTTGACAGATTTATAAACCAAACGTAAACAGAGAAATCGGTCGTATATTGTAGGTCACAGTCGTCTGGTATGGCTTGTTTCGACAAATTATCGTTTTAATGTACCAAGTTCGGCTGAAATATCTCAACGACTGAGGAACTAGTTTGCGTACAAATGGACATACGTGTACATGGCATGCCTAAAGCAAATTAACTCGCCATTCTGAACCGTTCAGTAAAATGCGTACTCTGTCGTTTCTACTTCGGGTGGTTAGTATTATTACATACTGACATTTGGTAGGCCAGGGTTCCAGTCCCGGTTCGACCATTATCTAACATAATAGAACGTTAATTGTTCCAGTTGTGATCGCACGTCGGCAGAGCATGTCAAGCCCCCTGAGTGTATATATGACACAAAATAAAAGTTCTTCATAAAAACCCATCGGCTGTTCGGAGCCGACTTAGAATAAATTGCGGATCGCTGCATCTTTTCATTTTGTATTGTACATGTAAAAATCTCTTTAATACTAAATATACTAATACTTGGTACGTATATAATATATTATTAAGAGCAAAAAATCCAAATTTTCCAAAAGAAAGAAAAAAAATAAATGATCACCAATGGTTTTTTACTCTTTTCTACTTTTTTTTCTTACACTTACTAAAGTGGTCTTTAATTAAAAATTGTGCATGTCTGATGTGAAATCAACTCAATGTATAGTCTGATAAGATGCAAATGCATTGATTACGTGCATACTTTGGCTAATACCCATAATTAAATAAAAATTTTGATAAAATATTATTAAGAGTATTTTAACTAAATATTAAAAATATTATATATATATATTTGAACAAAAAAAAAAAGAAAAAAAACAAGAAGCAATTCTCTATATAAAATCGATTGTTCAGTTAAGCGTCAGAGCAGTCGGTCTCTTCGCGTGGCGCTGGTTCCGTCTAAATTTGCATAAAAATTTGCTAATTTTTTCCAATAAATTTAATCTCTTTTGAAAATGAAGTCCTTATTGATATATGCTTTATTTATTTGTATTTTTACCACCTACGCGTATGCCGGCACTGATTATTTATGGGGTGAAATTACTGATAAAGATTATTTAATTTCCAAAGAGACCGTAAGCAAGGCATTTGTTGTGGGTCTCAGTGTTTCGAAGAAATATGTTTTCAAGCAGAAGGTAAAGGTGAAATTATTGACTAATAATTAAGTTATAATAAATAAATAATAATAATTACACTTTTTGTTGATATAAAGGACAACCTCAATGCGTTTACAATCACTGCCATTAAAGTGACCGATAAGAAGAAGAGCGGCGCCACTGTGACTTTGGTCAGTGGCGGACTGGGTTCGAAAGGTGTTACGCTGCTCTTTAAATCACAACGTGGTAAAAGCATTAAGGATGTAGTGGAGATTTATGGGCGTTGAGTGGATTGAAAGTTGCTAATTTGATATACAAAATTGCGAAAATTAAAACTTTTGCTGAAAAATATTTGTTTTTTTTTATATATTTGTTCTAATGTTAAATTTTTATTTATTTATAGTTTCCACTTTCTATATTTCTATACGCATTCCAGAATAAGCAACTCAAGTGGAGCAACTGCAATGTCTATCAATAAGCAGATAAGATACGAAAGCACTTTTTTATTACAAAACATTTGAAATCTCCGACATAAGACATTGCGCAATATTTCAATGTCTTCGTTTGTGCAATGAGAACTTCAAAAATTACATCAATTTTTTCGCAACGATGCTACACGTATATAATTTGTAAGTGTAAGTGGTAGAATGGTGTAATAATGAGCGTTAGATAGGCCCACATACATACATACCTAAATGGGTTACTGGGTCACGTTGTAAGACAACAAATGCCAAACCAAAAGTTATCAAAAATATTTGAAAATTTTTTGGGTATAAAACCTGTACCATCCGCCAGCAAATGTCACAGTTAGCCACAGCGTACGAGACACGAAATATCAACAACAGTGCCTTACAGTACTTAGAACGTAGTGTTTTTGGCGAGAAAAGTTGAAAGCTTATAATCCCAAAAAAAAACTATTTTTATTATTTGAAATATATTTTCCAATTTTCTTCTTTTTGGCAAAATGAAAGTAAGTTTCACTGTTTTTTTGTTGACTGCCGCCATTTTCGCTTACACCAATGCTGCAGAGCAAGTTCTTGGTGTTATAGGCCCAACTAATTCAATATTGGCTATGACAACGGTACAGCGACGCTTCCGATTGGGACAAGTGGTGACGGCGGACTATACATTTACAGTAAGTGAAGAGAACAGAGATAAAGAATATATTAAATAAATGCTGCTATATGAAATATTATATCGATTTTGCAACAAAAGTATGTATTATGGAACTTTAAAGCTTTCAAATATCTGAAAATAGTTTAATATTCGAATTTTTAACTACATGAAGTTTCTAATCTCAGTTTATTTTTAATTTTTTCAAATTTTTGAATTTTCAAAGTTATAATATTTCAAATTTTTGAATATTGCACAATTGAGAGTTTGAAGAGCTGAATTATGAAATTTTGTTTTTTCAAATTTTCGATTTCTTACATATTTGGATAACCGACACTTTAAAATGATTGAATTTTCAAAAATTTTAGTTATCAGATCTTTAAGTTCTCAAATATTTGAATTATCGAATTTTTGAATTTTGAGCATTTAAATACATTGATAAATAAAATAAGATTAAGTTTCCAAATGCAGAAGAGACCAATTTTCAGATTTTTGAATTTTACCACAATTGATTTATCGAATTTTAGATTTTTCTATATATCGAACATTTACACATTTCAATATTTATAGTTTTGAATTTTTAAATATGTTATAATGCTTTTCACTTTTCACTTTTAGAAGTTTTGAATTTTCACATTACCGAGACTATGAACCATCTGAATTTTGAATGTTTTGAAAAAACGATTTTTTGAATTTTAAAATTTTTGAAATTTGGCAGTCTTGAACACTCACATATTAGAATAACCGAAATTTTTGTCTTTGAAATGTTTGAATGTTTGATGATTTGAACTTTCATATCTGGGAGTTTTCAAATATTTGAAGTATTGAAATTTTGAATTTTGAGCTTTAAGAACATTTAAATATATGATAAATAAGGTTATGCATTTTCAAATATGGGATAAAATAGATTTTGAGTTGTGAATATTCAGATCTTTGAGTTTTCAAAAGTTTGAAGTATTGAATATTTAAGTTCTGAGTTTTTGAAACATTTAAATATTTTGATAAATCATGTTTTGAGTTTTCAAATATGGAATAAACTAATTTTTAATTTTTCCAAATTTTGAATTTTCAGATCATTGAATTTTTAAACAACTGAACTATTCTAATTTCTGATTTCTAAAATTAAAAAGAATTAAAATTTTGAATACTGGAAGATTTGCAGTTTTAAATAATCAGTATTTAAAGCTCTGAATTTTAAAAGTCTATAACTTTATGCTCTTTAAAAACCAAATTCGAATTTCCAAAATTTTAAAATATTTGAGTTTTTAAAAGTTTAATTTTCATCTAAATTTTGAATTTTTAGCTTAAAACTTAAGATATGAAAAAGAAAGCATTAAAATATTGATTTTGAGTTAGATCGACTGCAATTTTCCCCCGAATGTCGAAATATACTTTTATTTTTATACTTTTAGTTTCGATTTTTTTAACTAAATTAATTTACCGTTATTACCAAAAATTTTCTTATAAATTTTCTTCTAGGGTACTTCAACCACAGCATCAGTTTCTGGCATCCGTATTAGGGACAACAAACGGGCGAACAAATCTCCTGCCGTCACAATCACGGCTGGCGCCTTGAGTTCCACTACTATCACAATAAGACTAACGTCGCAACGCGGTCTAGGTATTAATAGTGAAATTACCGTTTATGGCACACCATAGGTCAAGATGCTTAGGCGAAATATTTCGGCTTATTCACTTTAGCTCCATATAAGTCATACGATTTTAGATTAAGTTCAATTAATGGAAAGGAAAAATTATGTCAAAATTCTTATATTAATAAAATTTACTAAAAGTATTCAAATTAAAGTTTCATCAATCATTTCCCTAATACATTATAATATTTACTGGTATTTGTTAAATTTAGTAATCTGTTTATTATGCAGACGTACAACAACAACTGCAGAAAATATATAAAATCTTGTTTTCAAGTTTGTTAATCAACTGCAAGCAGGTGTTGAAAACAAGCACGTACAATTTGAACAAACACACATACACATACACATACACATACACATACGTGCGCATATAGGGCTGCATGCTAAACACTATATTCGAATTTGTATATATTGTGCCACAATGTTGCGGTTTCCAGCACCAACGCCATTGCAGTGGATTTTGAGAATATTTTTCAAGTGCCAAACTCAGAAACACGCACACACATTTGTACTCACACACACTGGAGCTCGTGTATTAGATAGTTAGATGGATATTTGAACATCTGCTCTTGCATCTAATGCAATAAATTTTCAATTTTCTCTACAGCTTGTGGTTTTTTGAATAGGAAATTTTTGCTGATTCTCTGATTAGATACATCAAAATAATGATAAGAACTTCGAAATCATACAATAAATACAATGAGATGAATTTGCCATCAGCAATGAGAGTGGAAGGAAATAAAAATTGTAAATCCATTTTACAGTTCAAATGAATGCTTATGCAAGTCTGCGGCGGTAGAAAGTTTACTTTTAAAATTCATGACACATGAATTGCACAGAAAGCTTTAAAGTATTTTCAAGTATGCTATATCTACATACATAAGTATTAATGTATGTATGTTGATTAATTTAAAAATAGTTTTTTCTAAATTACATAATTTTATATTTTAAACTTTCAAAGTGTAAAAGAAGATAAGTCAAAGTAACTTTTACTTTATTATATTGAAAATTAGACGTGGAGGAGCATGCTGTTGCTGTTAATGATTGAATTCATTCAAGTATGGAAATTTCTAAGCATTTTTATTGAAATCTGGGGAACTTGACCTTTCATCGATCTCTAATTGTCGTTTCGTTTCTTAGTAAAAATGGACTTAGGGCTGATGAGCCCAGTAGATAGGGTACGATAAAGCAAGTTCTCTCCCCAATCATGGAAATCGGTTATATTCATTGAAACGCATGGCCTCCACTTACCACTGCGTTTCTTGTTGAAGCGACTCAATCGACTTAAAACAGTTTCTCTGCTTTGTATACATTTAAACTTTAATTTATTTGGGTTCTTGTGGTTTCAAAAGGTATGTGCTGAATTTTAACATCTGACAAACGTAACTGTCAAACCGAAAATAAATCGTTGAACAGCCCCACAATGCCTTAAAGTTCTTAAACAGATTACATCGATTACAGATATTCTCCATTCCATCAACGTTTTGCACGAGGACTCTAATGTCTTTTTTACGAAATTCTCCAGAGCTGGTGCTTTCTTAGGGCAGACCACGACGTATTTACGTACACGTATATACGAGTACGTCGACGAGGCTTATTTATCACAAAAAAAAATATATATATACTGTCTGGTCCGACAATTTGCCAAAATGTGGTTCCAGCAAGTGCTACATGTCACACAGCATTGGCAAATATAGCGAGATTATATCGTCTTGGCGATGTCAAGGGACCACCGAGATCGTGAGATTTGGGCATTTTTGTGAGTCTATGCGAAAGACCGTGTTTATGCGGATATCTTTTGATAGGCAACATTCGAAAAGCTATGACTGGCGTAGCGCTCAATACAATATGCCAAAAAGTGGTCGGAAAACACCGCAAACTGATCGAAGTTTGCAAAAATACACAATGGATTATGTAAAGTGTCAAATATAATGTCAAGGGCCAAGAAAGAATTGACCTAATGAGCTGGAAGTGTAGAGGGGATCAAAAGACTATTGGTACAGGTATTTAATTTTTTTTATTTTAATTAATTTTCTATAGCTTTTGGATGTTGGTCGAACGGGGACTTGAACCCAAGCTTTCCGAGTGGCAGTACACAATTCTAATCACTAGGCTATGGGCGGTCGCCTACATCTAGCTGAGGTTAAATCAGAAACGGTCTCGGAATAATATTAAATTTTATTATAATTTAATCTTATACCAGAAGCTGCTTTGAGGATATTGAGAAGGAATTTCGGTAACTCGTTTATATTTTTATGGGCCTTACAAAAAGTTTCGACAAACTAAGTAATTATTAATTAATTTTATATTACATTGTAGGTCTTTTTATGTCCTTATCATAGATGTTTTCGTTGCTGCTACAAAACGTGTTTCAAAAAAAAAAAAAAAACGTTAGAAGAAATGAGCAGAAACATAGTACAGTGATTACGAGACCTTATTACAGAAAAAGTACTAGCACTTTGGTCTCAAGCTCGAGACTGTCCCCAGAAATTTCAATTACTCACTACCACTATATATTTTTTGTACAGAAATTCAGTGCCACATAATTTTTTGATTCACTGTGCTAATAAAATTTTGCTTAATTTTTGATTACTTTGCAATAGTCTCAAAAATGGCTAAAAACATGGGACTCGCTCCGGCCATCGAAATGGCTTTGAATTCTTCAACGTTTCGAGAGCATGGATAGGATTAGTTTATTTTTGGTTTAATATGAAATACTAATACTTGCTCTTATGAATATACATCTTTCCTAGCTTTCTTCTGAAACCGAAATTAATTTCATTTATTCCCACAGATACAAGAGCTACCTTACTAGATCTTCAATTCTTCGTAATCATTTCAAACAAAATAATTTTATATTGTTATTTGTAATTTATTAAATCTATTAGATTATTCCACTTTCGACGACTTTTTTTCAACACCCGGTCGTTCAAAAGCCATTTCTTAGTAAAACTCTTTAACTTTGTCTCAATATGCGAATAAATAAGATTAAGTGGATGAATCGTCAGCAAATATAGTTCAATTACACAGTCAACACCTCTCCAAGAGCACTCCACTCCAACACATGTACGTATGCAGCTATCTTTATTGCCATTAAAAACAGCACATTTACCACTTCCGATCTTAAAAGTATTATTTTATTGAAAGCGAAAAAAAAACAAAGTTAATATGAGAGTGGTCATAGAAGTAATCAACACACTTTGCACTCACTTTACCGTGCACTAACAGTACATAATTTTAGGCTTAAATGTAAGAGAACATAAATATGCTACAGGGTGCCACGGCAGAAAATTGAAAGTATAAAAATTCTGCAGAAATATCATGAAAGACGAACAGTTGTCTTAAAAATTACAAAAAGAATCCCCCACCAGCACAGAACAACAAATGTACATATGTATATATACAGTTGAGTTGATAAGATAAGATGCAACGTTACACACTTGACAATGCCAAATGATTCACCAAAAGAAATGAAAAAAACGAAGTCACAATTATTTTCCAAAAACGTAAGGTGCTATTAATTTATCAAAGCAGTTAATTGATATCAAATTAAAGCGATTTCTTCAAAAAGTATATTATAAGAAGTTTATTGAAAAACAAATTTGTTAACTTCTTGCTAAAAATTAACCGGAATTGATAAAAAAAAAATAGTAAACACCGGTGATATCACCATTTAGTGGATCAAATATAACGGTAATTCAAGTGGTTATTTACAGTTTTAGTGTTGATATGTATAGCCTAAGTATTTGTGGCTAGCAGGTGAACTTGCGCGGGTGTGAAAAATAAATAACAAACAACACTTGTGTATTGTAATGAATGAATATGGTATATAAAAGAGCCAGATATCGGTAGATAGCAAACAGTTAGTTCTCAGCAGTCGAGAGATATAAACGTGTTAAAAAGTTTTTATTTTTAAAAAAGGAATAATTAAGAAAAAACAATGAAAGCCCGCACAGCTATCGCGCTCTTCTCGTTCGCCATCGTGGCAGCGCTTATTGCCACCAGCATGGCCACCAACAGCACCTGGGGACAACGCAGCCGTTACGATCGCCTGCTCTACCGTACCGATGTGGTCAGGAAGTCCGACTTGTGGCGTGTCATTTCGGTGGATGTTGAGTTCCCCGGCAAGGTGAATATAACAGAGATCCTCAACTAACGAAACGTTGCTATTCCGTTTGGTGAAATGAGCTTGTTTTTGTCATTGTCGCGTCATCGAAATGAAAGAAATTGTTAATGTGGAAACTGCAAAAACTCAGCGTTAACATTATTTTTAATGCTGTTGATAACACTTCAAATGAAACGCTTAATATAGCCTGTTAAGGCATTAGCATTGTGTGTTAGCGATTTAGCATTTCGGTTCGGATGAAAACGAAATAATATTTATATTGATAACATTTTTAACGCTAAAATTTCCAAGTATTTTAACTTAGTTGATACAATTTTACTTATTTACGTCAAATTTATCGTTACGATGCAGCCAAATAATATATTTTTATGCAAAAAAAAGGCAATGATTACTCACTGTTGCTCACATATACTATTCACTACAACAAAAAATTCCACTTATAAAAAAAATATAACAAATTTTAGTAATTTAAATTATAAATGAATTTAAATAACTGTTTCCCTTCCACAGAATTCCTACAATCCCTACTTCATTAGCCAAGTGGTGGCCATCGATCATAAGCGCAAGGACGGAGGTTATGCCCAGCTGCGCAAAGGCGGTCCCGGCTATCGTAATGTCACCCTACACATCAAATCTGCGCGCAATCATGGCCTGAATTATACTGTTGAAGTTTTTGGCAATTAAACGAATCAATGAATGTGTGTGCTTTGTGTTAAATGACAAGCGCGGTTAGGTAGTGTTGGCAATAACACTTGTTTAAATAATAATAAGCAGGAAACAAAAAAAAAATGTGGAAAAAAATTCTGTGATTATTTCTATAAATGTATTATTAAAAGTGTAAATAAAGAAATAGTAATTATTAAATAAATAACTTTCTTTTATTTATCGTATACATAAAGATTTATTTATCATCATGGGGATTTTTTTGTGCATTCACAGGAAGAAAGCTTTGATCGTATGACAGCTAATAAAACAATTTTTTTATATGGCAAGTTAAATTTAATCTTCAACTTTTGATATAAATTTCAGGATTTGACTAATTAATTTTTCAAGCATTTATTCCATATCATTTGTGCTATTAGCTTTTTTTATTATATGAAAAAACCACCATAGCTTTGTCGTGGTAAAAAGTTGATTATATGAAATAAGGGCTAGTTGCAAGATATTGTAGGATTATGGCTTTACCTATAAGATAATAAAATAAATATGTACAATATTCTCAAATTTGTTTGAAAATCAATTTAAAAATAAAATTGGGGCTCTTCGATCTCCCAAAATTGGCAATAGAGCTCCTAATTTAGAATTTTCACTCTAGAAACTGAGCATAACTTAATGAAACATGATGTAAAGTTTCGTGAAATATGTGATATTCCCCGAATAATGTAATATAATATAATATATAATCCATGTTGGTCCCATGCAAAACGAGACTGCTCAAGAGCAGCATTTCAAAGGAATTATCCAATCGTTTACTTAAATGTTAAAGATCTCTTCTTCACTGAGTTGCTTTACTTTTACATAAATTTAGTACTATCGTAAATATATGAAATCGGTTCAAAAGTTGCTGTAAGTTTAAAATATAGTTGCAGTAATTGGTATTGATTACTTTCAAATACGTTCGATGCTGTTTAATTGGACATGTGTAAGTGCGCACACGAACTCTTTTCGAGTATCTCTAATTTTCTCTTCCCTCAACATTTCTCAGGGTTTCATCTTGAACTTTTATTTCATGTTGGAAACGTGTAAGTTTAGTAAAGAAAGACAGTATTCGAAAGTCTAATAACGGAACAGAATAGCCATTGCCAGCGGCGATATATACATAAAGTGTAGGAAGGCAAGCGTAAGTTTGATGTTGGCGTATCTTCTCCGATTCAATACCGCCTTATCTAAAGCACATCTAAAATATCTATAAGCGTACACTGTTTAAACGATCGATTTTCAAAACTAGAAGTCGGCGTTAAGGGGTAAGGTCACAAAAACACATTTTTTCAAGAATTTTTTGTGTGGAAAGAAAGGTAATGCAAATATAATGTTTTATTATCTTATTCTTTGCATATTTATTTAGAAAAAAATTTAATTTGATTTTTCTTCAATCTACTATAAAATAATTATTTATTTCCTTATCATGAGATGTAGCAAGACGTACGGATTTTAAACACTTTTTGTCAAATTTAGAAACATTTCGTGATGACTACTTCTCCTTGAATTAAATTGAACTTCCATGTGGCACTACAAATTGCGCAAAAAGTAAAAAAAATATCTTGAGCTCTAGAGCACTTTTAATTTTGTGAATAGTTTATTTCATATTATAAATCTACAAGATTCCCTTACGACAATGTCTCGATACACCTTCGTGATAGTATGTGATCCGAGAAATTCCATTCATAAGAATGTTTATGGACCAAAGATGCTCAACTATCGAAACGATGCCAATTCGTTTTGTTTGTTTGAAAAATAAAATTAATGAAATGAATCCGCACAAAATCTTCGTCAACGTTAATTTAAAAATGGCTGCTTGCTGTGATATTAACAGAACACTTCAATTTTAACATTTAATATTTTACGTTTACGATCGAATATTTTCTGTTAACGATCCCACATTTTTTGTTAGCGATTGTATATTTTCTGTTGGCGATTGAACATTTTCAACAGCTATAAATAAATTTAACGAGAAGCGAATTAGAATTTATTTTGACGACTACTCTAACGATAACATTTCTAAATGTTTCAAACGAACCCCTTCGAATTTTTCGATTACGGTGATTTATCCTTCCATGAAATATATGATTCCATCTTTTCTTCCAGACAAGTTCGACGATGGGGATCCGGAAAAAACCTAATCCGTACGCATAGCGCAATGCCTAGTGATAACTGACGTTATTTGTATGAGTGCTGAGAAATGACTGGTCTTGATGAGTAAAAAGCAAAATGTTGATTTAATGCTTAAGATAGCATTTAAAATCAGTTCTTAGAAAACTTAAATTTGTTTTGATTTTATAAGCAGTCTATCTTTTCATATATGCAATCACATCTATCATGATATACTAGCGTTAATTGATTAAATTAAATTATTTGTTTACTATTGACACTTGCAAATTCATCAAACTTATTAGCTGATAGCACGATTCAACATTTTGCACGTCCCGGAACTGGTTTATACTAGTTAATTTTGAGAAATTCGAGTCTACCAGGACTTTGCTGTACTTTTCATTTTTTGTAAATGCTCCTTGTAAGTTATTATTATTTTATTAAATAAAGGTTGCTTGTAAAAAAAAATAATAAATTATTTGAAGGCAAGGATTCCTACTCAGCGTACCAACTGAATTTAAATTAATGAATCGGGTATAATATTATCAAGATTGTTCGAACTTAGTAAGCCAAAAATGATTCACCATTTTTGCCTCATATCATATCTTGCGCTTTATCTTGAAATTTTCAAGGAAAAATGACAATTGTAAAATACTCAAATTATCAAATAATCAATAATTTAAGAAATATATTAAAAATAATTAATTTAATTTAGAGAAACTCATGCTAAAAGCGACAAGAATGCAGAAAAGAAATTTTCGCTTCATACAACAGCGGTCAAGTGGTATATTTGATATCTTGAACAGATAAATATAAATGGATTTCTTTTTTCGCAAACAACACTTAATCTACTATTAATATATTGTTTGTATATAAGGAGAACAGAGTAGCCAGTATAACAGTTAATCCTGAGCAGTCGAACGAGTTAGACATAAAATATACTCTAAAACAAAAAATTAACAACAACAATGAAAGCACGCACAGCAATCGCACTCATCGGCTTCGCTGTCTTGGCAACGTTCGTCGCCACCAGCATGGCCACCAACAGCACCTGGGGACAACGCACGCGCTACGATCGCCTGCTCTACCGTACCGATGTGGTCAAGAAGTCCAGCTTATGGCGTGTCATCTCAGTGGATGTTGAGTACCCCGGCAAGGTGAGTAAATATCAATTTTTTGTAAAAAATATTTAATAATTTTTTATTCAAGCATTTGGTATTTATTATTTGCTAATGAGTATATTTTTCGTTCCATAGAACGCCTCCAACCCCTTCAATATTACACAAGTGACGGCTATCGATCATAAGCGAAAGGACGGTGGTTTTGCACAGTTGCGCAAAGGTGGTCCCGGATATCGTAATGTCACCCTACACATCAAATCAGCGCGCAATCATGGTCTGAACTATACCGTAGAAATTTTTGGTAATTAAATGTGTCGAAAATTTTAAAGGAGAAAGAAACTATGCCGATTACGCCATAAGGAAGCCAAGATGGTAGACATTTTGCTAAGAAAAAAAATTAATTAAATATATAGAAAGAAATAAAAAATAAAAAATCCGATTGTATGAGCAGAAGCACAAGACATTGAGTCGATTTTCGAAAAAGCATTTTACAGCAGGCCTTAAAATTAAATCCGACAAATAGCTCAGAGAAATTATTTTCTGTGTGGCCCTCCTGGTAAAATATAAAAATCGCAATATATTCGTTTATCTCTATATTTGGAAGACTGTCTTCCGTTCAAAAATTATGCAGAAAAAATTATCTAAGGATGTAGTAATGTAAAAGATTTTCAATTAATTTTTTTCTGTTTCTAAACGTATACTTTGTACATTAAAGAAATGTAAAAAAGCATTAAGAGCAGTTGATATTATTATTATTATTTTTGATGTCTTTTTTAAAAGTTTTGTAAAATTAAACAATTCGCTCCTTTAATCCTAGTTTCCGCTTTAAGCATAAATTCCCAACTAACAAAACGATGTCACTTCGTTTTATTGATATCAAAAATTTACTTAACGAAATGATTTTGTTTCGTTTCATCGCCATATTATCGAAACGAAATAAAGTTGTTAAAGTTGAAACCGAATAAACTCATCTTTATCGTTAATTTTAAAGTGGCCGCTTTCACTTCACTTTTAACTTTTAACATTGTCTGTTAACGCCTTATCATTATCTGTTAACGCACTAGCATTACCTGTAACGATGTAACAGTATCGACAACTTTTCGTTTCGGTTAAAAACGAAATGAATTTTTTTTAACTGTTTTAACGGTAACATATGTTTCAAACGAATCGATACATACTTATGTGATTTTTTTTAATTGAAAAAAAATTAATTATTTTTTTTAAATTATTTTTTTTTTTATTAAGTGCGCATTGCATGCATTACTTGAATTTGAAATGACCTTTCGGATGAAAAGTTTTCAGGAGTTTGACTTGTCTGGATATTTGCAATATATTATCTTCTGTCTGAATTGTGGAGTGATTATTTGATCATTTGATGAAAACTTGAATGAAAAATAGTATAAGTTAAGGCGTTGGCAGTGTCATGAAGTAGACCGTCCACAAGAAAGTGCTTTGGCGGTAGTCATGATAGCTTTTTCAATTAAAAAAAGTTAAAATTTGATTTTTTTTAGCGTTTAAAAAAAAAACGCGATTTTTTGCATAATATTAGCTTGCAAAATGAGTTGAAATCAAAGATAAACCTGATGCTTTGTTTAGGAACTACAAAAGCGTGCTTAAAAAATGTGTGGAGAATTTAAAGTCGATCGCTTCAATGGTCGTTGAGAAATTTTGACTACCGATTTCGATAAAGTGGTTTTAAGGAAAACGCGTCTAAAGTTTTATCATCGATCAAGCCATGGCAAAGACGGCGGGTTATAAAACTTTCTCATTTCAGCAGTTTCACCTCAATCGACTTGAAACTTGAGGAAAATATTCCTTACACCTTGTACTTTTATACAAAAAAATATCAAAAAAAATTTTTTTTGAATTTTCAAGACCTATGTAAACCCTTAAGCGATTGCTTAGTTAGTAGTCCGATGATTGGAGTGATTTTCGTTCTTTGGTGTATAGAGGACAGATTTTTATGTATGTTATGAAAGAAATTAATTCTTAGTGACCAAGTAAAACATACTAGTTTCTATTCATAAAACATATTCCCTTTCCGGAATGCGTTTGTGACACTTGGTTATATTTTAAAACTGACTGGCTGGTCCATTTGCGCGCCAAAAGTTGAAGAGCACACTACTGAAGCGAGAGATAATAATTATTATTTTCATTATAACAATAATGATTTAAAAAAAAATTCTTTTCTTTCCTTTTTTACTGTAATTTTAAACACACTTTTAAATTTTTTTGAATATTTCAACTTTTTACGGGCTCTCATTAGTTCCGCCAGCGACAAGACACATATTTAATCTTTATATTATAACATTTGATTTACTACGGCAATTATTTCCACGAACATAGTTGTATTAAACATTATGCTAATATTTCTTTTATATTAAATTAACTTTTTACTTATACCAAATGTACATAAACAAGTACATATGTATGTGCGATATTTCTTATCTAAAAAGATTAAAATTAAAAAATAAATCATTATTTTTTCTGCTCACTAAAAAATCATTACATATATACTTAAGTGCTTGTGTGTTTAATTTCTTTTGCTTAGTTTTAGAAAGTAAGTACCCTAACTAAAAATTACAAAAAAAGAAAAAATAAACTAAATAAAAAAAAAATAATTATTACTAAATAAAATAAGTATTTTTGGAAATTTTTGAAGAATTGTTATAATATTCTGCTATAGATTATTTGCCATAGATTTCCACGCGAAATATTAAACCATAATTATATTGTGACTGCAGCTTGATGGTGACATTATTGAAGCCTGGCCCACCGGAATAGATGGTGGCATGGCCACCAGTGCCATTTGTCACCTGATCAAAGGCGCGTATGCCGGTGATAATGCGTCCATTGCCAATGCCCTGTATTAATTAATATGTAGCGAAATATGAATTATAATTTTTTATGTTGAGGAAAAATATAACAATAAATAAAAACAGTTATTGAGTTCGTTGTTGAGTTGTTGTGTTAAAGGTCTTGTACAAAATTTGCATTAGAAACATACGAATTTATTGCCATTTCTTTATTTGTCCGCGTAATAAAATTTCTTATCACCAACAGTGGAAACTATTTATATTTTTGCACAAACAAAAAAATTTTAATTAAAGAGATGCCGAAAAAAATTCGCAAAACGTGTTGACCTTGTGGTCAAGGAACATTAAATGGAAGCAATGTAGTTTCTAAAATTTTTCTTTATTTCTCATTATTATTTATTTATTTTTATTTTATGTTAAAAAAATAACATCATCTTGCGAGTACGTTTTTTAAAACTTATTTATTTGATTTATTTTTTATAAAATTTTTTGCTCTGCACTCAACATTTTGAAGGCTGATTTTCGCTTTGCTCTATTAAGGTTTGCAGTATATATACATATACATACATTTAAAATAAGTTTTGCTTTTAAACTTAACAATCGCGTGTGCAAAATCGGCGTCAAGTTTTACTTTCCGCGCCTTATGTGAAATCACCAGCAATGCGTAGCTTATCAGAGCAACCGACTTTTGCGAAACGTTTCCGGTGTGCGATTCCATAAAAAAAGGAATATGAAATGAGTTGCAGAAAGCGGTGTGTAGAGGAATAATAAAGGAAAGGAAATTGTGTAAAAAATTAATTTTGATTATTATTTTTTGATTTCTTGGTAGATATTTGTATTTTAAATTATTATAAAAATTAAATAAAAAGAAAAAATAAAGTTTTGAAATTTAGTAAAAAAATAATATTAAAATTTCATTTTGTACGAAAAATTCCAATCACAATATTTCTTTAACTTTTTAGTAATAGAAGTAAATTTTTAATGGTTTAAAAAAATTAAAGCAAATAAATCAATTTTCAAATTTTATGAAATGTTAGAAAACAAATTTTAAAAATTTAAAAAAATATTTAAACTTTGAATTTGCTCAAAAATCACAATTCTCCTGTGCTGCATTTATAAAAAGAACACATTTGGATGGACAAAAGGCCATGAATGATAAGACCCAATTGACATTCCTCAAAAAACTCCAAACGAAATTGTGATTCATAAATTTTAGATTATAAATTTCTTAAATCACTTAAGATTCTGCAATATTCCACAAGAAGTTCTTTTGGAAAAACCGCACGGAAAAACTCAAATTAGTACTCGTTTCTTACAGTCTTTTCACAAGTTTAAAAATTTTCGCTTTCAATTATCAATGACAACAACAACAACAACAACCACAATTAACTATCCCTTCACTTTCATAAACTCTTAATTCCATAATTTCTTACATTTTTCGGAAATTTAATTTCACGATTCACATATTTTCCAGGCGATGACGCATTAAAAACATTCTCCACATGCAACAATTGCGCCGAATTCGAAATGTTGCCCCATGTGCTCGAAATGGCGTACGTGGTTGTTACAATGTATGCCACAATTGTGAGGGCAGTCGAGAGTTTAATGAGTGTATTACAGTTATGATGTCTCATCTCGTGCGCCTTGACTTTTAGTCAATTTAAAACAAAAAAAAAAATTAGATTAATTATTATTTGAATACGAAACTAATTACAATGATAACAGTTTCTATTTTCGGTATGCGTGTTTGTTGTTGTTTTTTTTTTTTTTTTGTAATTTTGCTGTTCTGGTGTAAGATGCTATTTTTACATCAAAATCGCTCACGCTGTTGCGGTCGCTGTTGATGCTGCTGACGCAGGATGAGGTTTGTTGGTCTCGTGTTATTGCTCTTGTGCTTATCAATGCTTCTTCATTGTATACTATGTAACAACAACAAGTGAAGTGAGTAAATAACAGCACCAACAATTTGACGTTTTAAATACAATGAACTTTTTAGTTGCTGTTGTAATTAAATAAATCTTTTAAATTAAATTGTGAATTTGATACGTTGTTTTTGTTGTTGTTTTCTAAAAATTTCAAATTTCGATTTTAAATCTGCGCTTTATGTTGATTATGTACTGTTGTTGAACGCAGCGTATTTGAAACTGATTTCGATTGTGAATTCTTTGTGCGACTTTTTGGTGCGCTTCAAGCGAATTCCATTTGTTTCCTCCATCCCGTTCTCAATGTTCTCAGTGTCCGATCTCAGCATTTCCGTTTACCAGTGCTAAAAGTACACTGAGAAATTTTTATTTTAGAGCTTGAGGTATTTCTTTAAGAATGAATTGAATTTGAGTTTCGAGCACGAGAGTAGTTTAAGAGAGGCCAAATCCTTTAATAAATGGAAAAACTCATTTAGAGTGAGTTGTGCGCAACCTAACTTGATTTAGTTTTCAAGACAATCAACTCAGCAGCAGAAAATTCTTCGGCTTCAATGAAGAACACGTAGGTTTTTGGAAAAAAAATCTGATTTTGTGAGGTACGAGCGGCTGAATATAGTGAAGAGAAGAAAATGGATAATGCAATGCAATGAGAGTTCTGCAGCTACTTTTAAAGTTTAAATATTTTTGAAACATCACTCTATGCTAAAAAAAATACTGCTAAAAAACATCAAATATGTTTCGAAAGCATTCAGTTAAAACAAGATCCAGCAGAGAAATGCTTTAAGAACTTTGAAACAATATTTCTGTATACTGACACCAAAAAAGTCATTCTCGGAAGCGCCATAATTGTCATACGATCTCCTAAGAAAGGCCTGAAAATCATTCTCTATACCAGCTCATAAAAATATAGTACAAGGGATGTAAGAATAGCTAAAACTCCCTGATAACAGAGCATAAGCTAAATAAATTAAAACAATTAAATATGTCATAGAAAAGTCCAGTTTTGTGAGACTAAATGTATAATATAAGGAGAAATTAATAGTCTATCAGAACATCGTTTGAGAATAGCGAAGAGATGGACGAGCTGGCCATCGCTAACTTAGCTGACTTGGCTGTCACCATCGAACTCAGAACTTAAAGTGACTTTAAACGCAGTGGAAATTTAAGATCCAGGAATAAATGAACGGACCACATATCGCCAAATTATCTTTAACATAAGTTAGGCAGAGTGGCATCAGTTAAGTATAGCGCAAGCACCAGAGTAAATGAAACTTTGGAACATTACATCTGCGAGTACCCGGCAAACATGGATAGTAATAGAAAAATATTTCAGTTGCTTTTGGTTTGAAAAAGTATGCCCGTCGTCGAAAATAGTTATTTTTAACCTCTGTCTACTCTTTCGCCATTAGTTCGAATAAATTATTCAGCAAAAATAAAGTTCTTGGAATATTTTGACATTCACTTCTAAGAATATACGCTTGCATTAATGATTTTGAGGCATAGAAACTGAAACTGAACTTTTTCGCTGCATACATATGTACACATATATATATAATGTAAGTATTTCTTATCAGCTAAATGCGAAATTTATGAATTAAACAGCAGTTTAAAGGCGATTAAAGTTAGCTCGGCACAGTGGCAGGCGATGTAATCGATGGTACAGCAGCGAATATGATCAGCTGGAAAGAGCCAGCTGAGAGTAACATAATGAGAACTATCAGAGTTGCCGAAATTGCTTAAATAATATATATATACATAAATATAGATTTCAATAAATTAATTATATAAATTCTACATGTATTTCCCTGAAGACTTTTACCGACGTGCAGACGAAATATATTGGAGTTAAACGAATTAATATTTTAGTTTTATTTATATTGACCTCGAGCCGGCAAACAATTTGAATATAGAATAAACGAAAGGTCGCCAGAATCATTAGTTATTTTAATTATAGATATATAAATATTTCCAAATAAATCTTAATACTACAAGCAAAGGTATGTGTGTGAGAAAAATAAATTAATTTAACTATTAAAAAAAATGCAGTTAATTTGTGTATTTTGTTTTTTGAATATTTAATTTAAAATAAATTTGATTATTTAAAAAAAAAAATTAAAGGAAAATTATATGAAAATTTGTTTGTTACGTTATTCAATATCTTTTTTTTAAGTCTAAAATAAGTGAAATTTAGTCAGCTACAACCAAACGTCTCTCTAAGCACCAAAAACCTCTAACCGAAGGTTATATTTAAACAATTTTCTTATTTGTCATTATCAGCTACAAATAAAAGTTAATCATGCTGTTTCTAATTCAATAATAATAAATTTAGTAAATAATTTTAATTGATATGATGTTGTTCACTTTCCTATCAGTCAACAAACATATATAAATATATTTTTACTGGTACAATACAAGAAGCAGATGATAATGGAATGGAAAAAAGTGGACACGTAAGATCGTATAGACTGATAAGCCTATGTGATCCACACTTGGCTTAATTAATTTCCGTTAACAATAAATTGCAACAAATAACCAAATTTCTATACATAAACAGTTGAGAACGCGCTCTCCGTGAGTCCGTGAGTCCCTTTAAGACATCGTAATGAAACAAGCCAATTGCCACCAGTTATACTTATACTTTATACTTTTTATACTTTAATACAATAACAAATATGAGTTATATATTTAAGTGTGCGATAAGTGAAATTTTTAATGATAAATGATAAGTATGAGTGCGTGTCGACAGCTAGAAAGCGAAGCAGCAATCACAGCACTTGACTTTCTTATACATATATCTGTAATCGAAAAAGAAAGCAGCGGAATAATAAATAAGGAAGACCAAATATAATATAACTGTGGATAATGAAACACAAACAATTACTACGAAAAATGATTAAAAAATAAAAGAAAATTAACAAAAATTAAACTAAGCAAAACACAATAAATAAAAATGCCAAAAACTAAAGAAAAAAAGGTAAAGTAATATAAAATAAAATAAAATAAAAAAAATTAAATGATGTATATAAAAAATAATATAAAAAAAATATATATATAATATATAGCAAAATAAACAAATATATCAAAGTAAATTAAAATTAAATTAAATTAAATAAAATCGGAATAAAAAAAATATGAAATAGGAAAAAGTGAAAGTAAAATAAAATCTAACTTAATATAAAATAAAACAAAAAATAATAAATTAAAAAAATTTCAATGTAAAATAAAGTAGTATGAAATAAAAAAATTAAATGAAATAAAACACAATAACATTTTTTAATACAAAATGAAATAAAATAAGATAAACTAAAATAAAATAAAATAAAATAAAATAAAATAAAATAAAATAAAATAAAATAAAATAATATTAAATTAAATTAAATAAAATAAAATAAAATAAGCCACAATAAAATAAAATTAAATTAAATAAAATCGGATTAAAAAAATAATATTTAATCGAGAGAAGTGAAATTAAAATAAAATCTAACTAAATAAATTAAATAATAACAAAAAGTTAAATAAATTTAAATAAAATAAATTAAGCGAAAAAATGAAAAAAGTAACCAATTAATTAAAATAAATTTAAGAACTAAAATAGAAAATGAAATAATAATAATCAAAAATATAATAAATGAAAGTTAAAAAATTAATAAAAATTAAAAATAAATAATGATTAATTTAAACAAAATAATACAATACAGCAATAATGGAATAGAAGTTCAAAAAAATAATAAAGAAAGTAACTTCAAATTAATTCAAGTAAAACAGAAAACAAAAAAATAAAATATACTAAAACAAAAGGAAATAAAATAAGATAATAAAGTTAAAAAAAAAAGAAAACAGAAATAATTAATATTAAACTCTTGCTTATTGCTATTTCTGAATTTCCCGAAAAACCCGAATTGTAGTCGCGACTGTGTAAATATACCCGTATAAATAATGCATTGCCGCTATTAAAGCTCGTTATCGAAAGGTAGTAATGTTGTTATCAAGGAATAGTGTATGTGTATACATGTGTGCCAATATCGTACAGCAGCGTGGCATATAAAAGGCCATCATTTAATTGTCAACAAACAGTAACGGTATTACCACTACGGTTGATGAGGCTAATTTCATATACAAATTAAGTACACAAAAAAAGAGATGAAACCAGCAGTTTTTCGCACACTCGTTCTAATTGTCGCCTTGGCCAGTGTCGCATTTGCCGCTAGTAGTTCCTGGGGTAAGCGTAACAGCAGCGATGTATTGTTGTTGCGTGAGAATGTCATCCGCACACCAGTTAGAAATAGTTATTTGAGTGTCAATGTTGATTTTCCAAAATCGGTGAGTAACATTAATAAAATAAAGGCATCATAAAACAGAAATGAAAAAAAAACTATACACCTCCTCTGCACAGGGTCAAACTAACAACCGCACAATTTCGGCAATATTCGTTTATGATCGTTTTACCAACAGTTCCGGCGCTTACGCCAGCTTGTGGTCTGGTGGTGTTGGCTATCGTTTTGCCTCCGTCAATTTGAAGAGTCAATATAATATTGGTATTAACTCGACTGTGGAAATTTATGGCAAGAAATAAATACTAAACGAACTTACATATGTACATGCTGACATACATATTTAACTGCTCATTTGTAAAGGAAAGTGATACAGACATATACATGTATACATACACGTATAGCAGTGAAGCGAAAGAAGTCAAGCACACCACATTAAACTTGCTTCTGGCTGTAAATATGTGGCAAAATTTTATGTGTATTTTATATGGCAATAAACAACAACATTGATTAGCGTAAACTGCAACTGTTTTAACTAACGATTTGTTTTTTTTGTTTTTTTTTTTTGCTTGTCTTCTTCCACATCATCAACACTAATTGGATATAATTGCTTTTAAATTAGAATGTATGTATGATTTATGATTGTACATTTGGGTGGGTTTATGCGTTGGTGAGGGCACTTGTAAGAAATCTTGAGAAAGTGTACTTTAAGGAACAAATTCCACCAAGAATGTTCCCATTGTTTTATGCTGTGAAAATCACAAATCAAAAGAGATAGATTTTTCCACTCAAGGAAATATGATATTTTGTGCCGTATTATCCTTGAAAGCCGATCAACAATCAACGGCTGATTCGGGCATAGAAAAATGGAGCTTTTGGAATAACTTAGTTATGCGAAGAATAAATTACTCAAGAAAGAGCGAAGATATTGCTGCTGTAGTCCAAAGTGCTGAAGAAAACCCAAACCAGGTTTGTCCATTACATCGTACTTTGCATTAAGACTTGAGTATAAAGGTTCATAAAGTTCAGTGTGTTAAGGAACTTAAGTCGGCTAAGAGTTCGTCGTGACTTTCCTGATTGCTCTGCTCTTAAAATAAATGATAATTATCTGTAATTTCATTAAAAAAAAAACAGCTTGACTTATGAACCCTTTTCCACCTCGATGCACACAAAAATAAGCAGAACGCATTTGGGACTCGGAAAATCTAAGAATTATTGTTGAAAAGCCTCCCCATTGTCAACATGAAACTGTTTGGTGCGGTTTATGGTCCGGTAACGTCATTGGACATTACTTTTACGAAAATAAGCCTGAAGCAATAGTTTCTGTGAATGGATTGCGATATCGAAAGATAATAAACGATGTTTTATGGCTAGAATTGGATGGTATTAATCTGGACAATGTTTATTTTCAACAAAACCATCGATTTTTGAAGGGAAAAGTTTTCGAGCTGTGTTGAAGAGGGGGTCACAATTGGATCTTGTGTTTTAATACCTTGCGATTTTTTCATTCCGAGGCAAATGAGATACAAGGTCTATGCCAACAGACCAAAGTCGATTCGAGATCTGAAGCATAAAATTCGTGAAGTTATTGCAGGCATACAGTTGTCAATCTCCGATTTGACGGCGAACAGTTTAATAAAAAGGATACGGTCCTATAAGCGTCGCCGTGACAGCCATTCGACTGATATTGTTTTCCATTATTCATGGCATATCTTGCTCTTTAAATTGAAATAAACGTGTAATTATGTATCCCCAAAAATTGCCATCTTTCTTTGAATATCAAAATAACACCTCTTATTGGAGTGGTCCCGTCAGATAGGTAACACATGTCTATGAGAAAAGTCCCGTGGGAAACACAGAATCTTTATAGTATTAGCAATAAAATAAATGGATAAAAGGCCAGGTGTCAGAGCCTAAAAGACACTACAGCCAGACAAGAAGGTCTACCTATTATAATAAACATATTTAATTAACATATTTAATATATCTTAAAATTGCTTTTAAGTAATGAAATCAGAGCAGGTCACGGTGGTCTTGCCCTATGAATATCTTTAATTAACACTAATAACATAAACTTAGCAGTACTCCAAGTCATTTAAAAGCGGCTTTAAGGCAGAACAATAAAGTTCCAGAACACAGACATACACTTTATGGCAAAATTATAAAGGAATATATGCTATAAAAATGAAAATTAAAAGAAAACATCAATTTTTATCGAATCACTTAATAGCAACTCCACTTAATTGAGATTTTACGACCAAAATAATAAAATCGTTTAAATGAAGATCGCAATTAAAAAAAAAACGTTTGTAAATGCTATAAGCAATAACGGTGTATGGAAATTGAAAAGGTCGACAAGGTGAGGCCAACAATGAAAAACTACAAGAAAACCCTCTTACACACAAAGGGGCCCACTGCTCCTCGAAGCAAAGACAATCGTAAAGTGGAAAGTTTCCAACTAACTATTGCTTTGATGACATTTTTACCTACTGTAAACACTATTGCCATTTGATTTTTATTGCGACAATTAAAATACCGACAACATATGGGCGAGCTGCGACAGAGGCGCCATGCCGTAAATTGTTGGAGGATGAATAAATGAATAAATGAAAAATCGAAATGCGAATAACAAGACATAAACAACTGTCAAACACGCTAAGTGAATTAATTTTAAAATACTTAAGCTTGTTGTGTTGTCATTTGTTGCATGGCATGTTTACAAACACACAACAGCAACAACAAGCAAGCGTGACAAGCGACGTACGCCGCCTATCAAAATGACCCGAAGCCCTCGAAAAAATAAATCTTCAACATACTGACAAAAATTAATAGGCACAAATGCATGCACACAAACCTACAAACATACATGTACATATGTATGACTGCATATAAGTGCTCGTGGCAAACAACAACATGCGTGACAACAAAAGTATCAAGTGTGAAGAGAAAAAATTAACAAACATCAATGACAAGAAGTGCTATGAGCAACACCAATCGCATCAGCAGAAGCAGCAGCAGCAACAACAACATCAACGTTACCAATAAAAACCGGCAAGAAAGAAAAATCGCTGTCACAGTGCAACATCACAGCTTGGTGAGTGCAACAAGCTTACATGTGTCCAAATAGGAACGCATTCATACGTTTGCATACATACATACATATATTCCGCACAAAACACCTCCGAACCAAGCGCACCAACGACCAATTCACGCCAACGTTTTCTCGCACATTTTCACAATTGCTGCAACTCACTTTTGTTGTGCCACGCGTACGAAGTGTTAAAAATGTTGTTGTTTTTTTTTTTTTGAACGTATATATGTATTTAATTTTCTTTTCCTTTTTATACTCTCTACTTTCCTGTAGTATTTTATCATTTTTTCTACACCATACATACATTCCCGTTTGCTGCCCACTACACCAACGACACACTGCTGTGGCATAAAGTGTAAAATGCATAAATTTGTTGCGTGTCGCAGTTGCAAGAGTAATAAGCGCATGTTGCGCTAAAGGGCTAGTTGAGTGATAGTCCAACTAGAGAAGAACTCATATGTACATACAAAGCTGCATGAAATTCTGTGATATTCATAAACTTTGCATGTTAGTGGCATAGTTAAGCGACCACTGTTGCAACAGCGAGTGGAAAAAAGTGGAAAAAAAAGTTAATAAAAATAAAAAAGGAGACTGAAATAACAAAAATTATGTGAAGAAAACAAAGACTAAATTTTACAAACTGGACTTATGTCCCTTTTACATTAGTAAAAAAAAATTATTATTATTTATTTAAAAAAATAACTCAATGAGGTCAAATTTAATTAGAAAATTATTTAAAAAATCCAACAGGAATTCATTTAAAATGTTAAAAAAAATTATCGGAATTTATATTTTAGTGTAAATTATTTAAAAACAAAGTTAATAAAATTAGTATCTAAAAAATTATTCAAAAAATATTTAGAAATTACCCCAAATCCTTACTGCCTTGCATGCGATACAAAGCAAAATAAAGCAAAGTACAATATATTATTATTTTTTTTAACGGGAATTATAAAGAAAAACTTATATGTACATATGTAGACACCAAAAAAAAGTTTTTTTTTATTATAAATTTTTATAGACTTTTGTGTAATTTATGCAATTTTTTCCATTCAAAATTAATTTTTCTATTTTTGAACGCCTTTCGGCATGGACTGTCAAGCCCTCCGAGTGAAATAAAAGCTCCATAGAAACATCTTTTTATAAACTGTAGGTTCCTATATTCGTTTGGCAAAACACAAAATTGGAGGAGGAGCTCACCCGAATATCCGTTCTGCGGTTATAAAGCCGACTTAGATACATGTAGTATATTAGGTCTCATAAGAAGTAATCCATTATTTTTGCTTTAAATTCAATACTATTTTTTCCATAGTTAGAATTATCGGATTTTAACAAGTATGCATCGTTTTGTTCGATAACTCTCCTCTCTGATGGAAATCCTTGCCCTTAAAAAAAAAAACTGGGGTAAACGATTTTCCCAGGCTTCTCTTGAGATCAATTCTTCACCAGTCAGCTCTTTCGCTATTGGCAGTGCAAGGCCCACACTGCAAGGTAGATGCATAAGCACTTTCCAACCCATCGATGTATGAGGTCTGGAGTTCTCCTGATAAAAGACAATTTTCTTCTTTTAATTGGTACAATCGCTGATCGATCCGAATCAAGAGTTTCGTCATAGCCGTGCAGCTCATAATGGATAATTCCTTATCAATGCCATCAAACATACAACAAATCCTTGCTGATCGTCAATTTCGATCACTAGAATTTTCATTTAACGTTGCTGTAAGTGATTCCCAGTCGCTAACCCAGTCACGATTTAGCAGCGATTCGCAGATTTGCAATTTATTTATTTTCGCTAGCTTCGCACACCGTGGCCCAATCTTGGTTAGTCAATTAAGTTCAGTTTATCGGAATGCTTGGCCCCCATAATTGTTACTCGTTTCAGTTCATAAGGAAGTATACGTTGAGAGACTAATGCACAGCAGTAAAGAGCTAAACTAGTATGAAAAGTACTACTAAAGTACTGGTATTGACACGTCATGTGTAACGAGAGAAGGAACAATTCCCCCACAGGTATGTTATACTAATTTTCAGTACATCAAGGCTGTCTTTTGTTCTCAGATACGTATGTATGTTATTGTTCCCATTATTACATGATCGCGTGGTAGCATGGTATTTATGGTGCTAATCTGTAGTCAAAACCTTCTATTTCTATTTATAAGAACTACGAATTCTATGTCCATAAATGAACTAGTTTGTAACTAGTATGAAAATGATGCACATCGGGCAGTAGACATTTTGCAGATCGTTGTATTAAAAAATTGGTTGCAAATATGGGAAAATTATGGAAGCCGAACTGACTAGTGTAAAAGTTTAGTTTGCATTTTAGTCAACAATTAACATCCTTCCTTGCAAGTTATGCGCTCTGAAGCACTTAACTTATAAATGCAAAGCATTTTCCTCACTGCTACGGAATTTTTTCAGCCTCACTC